TCAGAAAGTCAATTTACAAATCTTGATCTTTTGACTTGGCATTAAGATCGGCAGGAAGCAGTGGACGAGTTATCGACCCCGGAGTTTCCTGTTAAACAGTTGCTGTAAAAACGGCGGGTGAAATTTGGCTCGTGTTTTTCAGTTTTAGAAGCAGTCAGATGCAGGGTTTTGGTGGTATTTGTTTTTGGTGATAGGTTCAGGGTTTTGGTGGTATTTGTTTTTGGTGATAGGTTCAGGGTTTTGGTGGTATTTGTTTTTTTGTGATAGGTTCAGGGTTTTGGTGGTATTTGTTTTTGGTGATAGGTTCAGGGTTTTGGTGGTATTTGTTTTTGGTGATAGGTTCAGGGTTTTGGTGGTATTTGTTTTTGGTGATAGGTTCAGGGTTTTGGTGGTATTTGTTTTGGTGATATGTTCAGGGTTTCGGGCTATAGACTCTGGGTTTCGGAGACAACTTTAGGGTTTAAGGCGATAGGTTAATTAATATTAAAGCTTATATGTATATATGTGTATATATATATATGTACATATATATATATATATATATATATATATATATATATATATATATATATATATATATATATATAGATAGATATATATAGATATAGATATTAGAGAGAGAGAGTGTGTTAAAAGTTTAATAGGATCGAAAAATTGTAATCTTAAAACATTCAAAGTTTTGTAATCTAAAGCGACAGGACCGTAATGCCGCCAATGGCTGTAGCCTAACTTGAGACAGTTCTCATTTTAAAGGTCCATGGGGGCGATAGGTTTACCATTTGATGAGCCGTCAAATCACGAGCTAGGATTTACTCTCCGTACAGCCCCCATCCCAACAAGGAACACAACTTTGGCTACAGTATCCCGGGTACTGGTAGGTCATATTCAACCACGTTAAGTTCAGGCTCTGACCTTTGAACTTTGCATCTTTCTATTTTAGTCTCCGCTAATCGATGAAGCGAATAAAAGATGCATCAGTTCACGTTATGTTAATGGTTGAGTTAGACTTGGGCAAGCAAGCTGAACCATAGGCGAGATATAGAAAGTTGTATAGGTTATGTTGAGAGTGATGAAGAAATATTTTATGTCAGTATTGGGACTTACAGCGTGAGGTCATGTAATGTTTTTGTGGTGACATATTATGATGTTCTGATCTGTTGTAAAGTAGGTGTAGCTATGTACAGGTGCTGTAGGGTCGTGTTATACTCAGTTCGCTAAGCTTAGGTCAACAAAAACAAGCAATCTTGTAACACGAATTGGATGATCTACAATAAAAGAACTATCTATTCGTATCCGAATTACAGAAATACTTACATTTACAACAACAAAAGGGAAAGGTAAATGAGAATAAAAAAGAACCGGGAAATACAATGGACAAACAAGGACAAGAGAAAAACATCCGAAAAACAACAAAACAAGGGTAAGACAACCGAAAAACAACCAGACAAGGGTAAGACAACCGAAATAAAGTTCCCACTAGCTTGCTCCTCCAAAATGTTGGGACATAAAAATTCTGGAGTGCCGTTATCTTGTAAGACAAGTTCCTGTGAATTATGTCCTCGGCTGTTGATTGGATGGGCAACAGAAGAAAGAAAACAAACAACACGTGGGGACAACACCCCCCTCCCACCCCATCACATGGGGAAACTACAGTGTTAACGAACAAGGAGCACATTATGGCAACAAAAAAATTAGAGAAGAAGAGCACTTTCTTTTTTTAGGGTTTCCTGCAGAAATAAAATAAATGCTTATCGAGCGGAAATAATTAAAAATTTTAAACGTGTCCCCCAGATGTGTTTTTTTTTTATAAATTGTCGTCACGGATAGATGTAGGTTGGATTTAATTTGGGATTTGTCTTTATTGTTACATTAATGATTAGATGTAGGTTGGATTTAATTTGGGATTTGTCTTTATTGTTACATTAATGATTAGATGTAGGTTGGATGTAATTTGGGATTTGTCTTTATTGTTACATTAATGATTAGATGTAGGTTGGATTTAATTTGGATTTGTTGTTATTGTTACATTAATGATTAGATATAGTTTGGATTTAATTTGGATTTGTCGTTATTGTTACATTAATGATTAGATGTAGGTTGGATTTAATTTGGGATTGAATTGTTGTATGCCATGTCATATGTATGTTTGGAAACTGTACAGTTAAGATAAATACAAGCACATAGTTAGGTAGGGATGGCAGTGGTACAGTGACATGTTTTGGTTGTATTATGTGTTCTGTGTTTGATTTGTGTAAGTTGTTTTATGTGTTACGTGTTTGTGTTGTGCAGGATGTATTATGTGTTTTGTGTTTGTGTTGTGCAGGTTGTACCATGTGTTATGTGTTTCCGTTGCGCATGTTGTTTTATGTGTTCTGTGTTTGTGTTGTCCTGTGTGTCTCGACTGTCTTGTGTCTGGGATGGTTTCGGTCTTGTGTCAGTTTTGTTACAAATATGATGAAAAAATCGTTTTCTACGTTAAGATTCACAACGTCACTGCTCTGTTAAGTTGGTCTTTATGTGATATTACATGTCTCGTTTTTGTTTTGTTATTGTCTAAGGAAACAAATGACATAAAATATATGAACATACACTGCATTGAATCTTTTACTGATAAAGTATCAAATGAATTGTATTAGAGGTTGTTGGGAGGTGGGGTGGGGTGGGGGGAATGTGACATTTAAACTCTATATAATGTAGCGATTTTTTGTCCTTCATTCATGTCAATATCAACAGAAGAAAGTGTCGTTTTTAAACAAAAAGAATATTTACAACATGTGTCGTTTTGGTATGTGAAGCAAGCATCAGAAGTGAGTGGTCTCAGATCGGGAACTGTTGACTGGGGAACAGATTAAACTTTTTAAAACTGAAGACAGAACACGATGATCAAACCGCTTGGTAGCATGTAAGTACGCCCCCCCCCACCTACCTTACCCTAGCTAAGCCACTGATTGACACGAGATATCACTCTTACCGCATGATTTGTCACGAAAGGTTTGTCTGTAGCTTTATGATCTCTTAAAGGGAAATACTTTACAATATGGAACCTAAATTCATTCGATATATTTGTTAGAGAGAGTATGGAGAATAGGGCAAGGGATAATGCTGGGCACATGATTACAGCGAGAAATACATTCGCTTCATCTAGTTGAGTTAGACAACAAACATCTTAACTATAAGACGATACACATCTTCAAATATCAGGAACTGGTGTGTTGACAAGGGATCAACTTGAAAGAAGATTTTAGAAAGCAAGTACGTTAATCAAGTTTAATTGAACAGCAATTAATTTTTCACGGTGCTTTCCCCTTGTTAGCGAACTACGTGGGGTTTTTCTCATGCCATGTTTTGCTTACATGTTACAGTGTTGTGTTATCTCACTAGTACACAATAACTATCACATGACCAAGGGAGTTAATCATTGACAAACTTAACGTCACTACCCCACACAGATGAAACAACAAGTGACCAATCTAACGTCACTACAACAGAGAAAAAAAAAGACTGAAGAAAGTAGAATCACTACATCAGACCCATAAGAAGACTAGCCGAAGTAACATGACTAAACTCAGACAGGTGATTGACCAACCTTACGTCACTACAAAACATAAAACAATCGGTGCTGCATATTGCATTGCTCAGCTTATGGATAATTGTGTAGGTTTACTTTTATTGTGACGCCAGATTTGTAAATTAAATTTGTTAATATTTTCACTCTATGGTTATCCGCCTTCGGTTAGACGGGAATCGAATGGTCTAGAAAGACGGCAGCAAACAAAATGAAAAAAAAAACACCCAACATTCAACAGAAATAGAAAAAAATTAAATCGCACGCCCTCTTAACAAAGAGCAGCTTAAGAAAGAGAAAACTTTAAAATCCAAACAGACGAAGCCTCTCATAACAATCCCCGCTAAAGCTGTTTAGTGGCTTCTTATCAAAGGAAAACAAACACTGTTTCCTTATTAAAAAATTTTCAATTTTGACAGTACATCACACAAACACAGAGGTCATGAAAATAACGTTATACCAATATCACACAAACACAAAGGTCATGAAAATAAAGTTATACCAATATCACACTAACACAGAGTTTATGAAAATAACGTTATACCAGTAACCATAAGGGGACGCAACACTTGGTTATATGTCGAACTTTCTGATCAATCGATGCCATTTTTGTGATAAAATACTGGACAGTCAAGTAAATTTTTTTAGCTGAGCGAAAGTTTAATTGTTAAACAACTCAGCCTGCTGTGTTTCAAATTCGATGCTTCTTTTGTTTAATGTGGTCTATGTCAACAAATATCAACTGATAAAAGTATCTTTTTCAAATAATAAACTGGAAAGCTTTGCGTAAATATAGACGGTAAAATTGAGGTTCTGTATTTCTATTGGTCAGTGCTAGAATATCTTTTAATTCATGCAATGTCTAAGTAGCGCGGGTTTTGTGTAGGTGTGTAAATGTGTATGTGCGTATGTGTGGTGTGTATGTGCTTTGTGTGCATGCGTATGTGCGTGTATGTGCGTGCGTGAACACATTTTCATTTTATTGTAAGAGAATGCCATTCGTAAATTTTTGTCGAAGTTTGATACAAGTAACAAGCGTAGGACACATTGTTTTCATCTATATAATCCTACGTGAGCTGTGGATCAAATCACGACATACATAACACATATACTACAACCCCATAACGTTAATTGATAGAAAATATGTTAGCTTTAACAACGTAATTTTCTACAGTCAGAATTTTAGTCAACGAATATAAACTTTCCTGCCGTGTGTGTAATTAGTGAGTACATCTGACCAGTAGAAAATAGGCTGACCTACAATTAGTGACGTCATTGCGTGAGAACAGTTATCACAGTTTTTTGTTGTTCAAAAAATTGACTTACTTGAGTGCTTGTTAGGTGTGACATACTGTGAACAATATACTTACTTTACTAGTAAAATTAAAATCTAGACTTTCTTGACTGATTAGAAAATTAAAAATTCAGCACTTACATGAATAGTTTGTAGATTTGTGAAACTTGGGTATTCTTGTACCTGGTGTTCTATTTTGAAATACATATGTAGCTGCAAAACCTGTGAGGAAAATAAACGACACCAACAGTTGATTCTGTAATTAAATTTTATTACATCAACATGCAGCACCATTCCTAACGTGACAGTCCATAGGGCATATGTAGTAGAGTTCACCATGAAGAGATCAGCTGTCTCTCTGACATACAAACCATATATTTCAGTACTATGTCTAGTCGCTTTTATTTTTACCCGATTACAGACCGATGCCCCTGGGGTTGGGTTAAACCCTTGGAAGAAACCCTAACTTTAGTGTTAGTATCCTCAGCCAATCGACGAAGACTTAAAAGTGTTAATATGTTAAATTTTTTTTCAAAACGGCGTGGATAGTAAATGTTGATCTTCGTTTAGACATTTGAAAGAAACATTAAAACCCGAGGTTTAGTGGTGGTGTACAAGACACAGAAAACAATATTTCGATTATCTCGTATATTTTTCTTTTTACAAATACGGGATATGTTGTTGCATTTAAGGACTATAAATCTTGTGATAAATGCTAGAAGATATGTGTAACGAGGGGTCACTGTGGACTGATTATGTCTTATGTAATGAGGGGTCACTGTGGACTGACCATGATGTATGTAATGAGGGGTCACTGTGGACTGATTATGTCTTATGTAATGAGGGGTCACTGTGGACTGATTATGTCTTATGTAATGAGGGGTCACTGTGGACTGATTATGTCTTATGTAATGAGGGGTCACTGTGGACTGATTATGTCTTATGTAATGAGGGGTCACTGTGGACTGATTATGTCTTATGTAATGAGGGGTCACTGTGGACTGATTATGTCTTATGTAATGAGGGGTCACTGTGAACTGATTATGTCTTATGTAATGAGGGGTCACTGTGGACTGATTATGTCTTATGTAATGAGGGGTCACTGTGGACTCACTAAGTCATCTGTAATGAGGGGGCATGTTGGACTGACCTTGACGTATGTAATGAGGGCACGTGGGACTGACCTTGACATATATAACGAGGGCATGTTTGACTGACCTTGCTTCTCGTAATGATCGTCCGACTTGAAGGCCACAACGGCGAGGTTGTTCTGAGAGATGACCTCTTCAGAGTTATGGACGTCACAGTATGTGGCCAAAATGGCCGCTTTCTCGTCCATGCCGTCATACACCGTGATGACGTCAGGGCTGTCTAGACAACTGGGGATAGAGGGAAGCAGGTCAAGCGTTGACACACCTGGGCGATAGGTGACAGAGACGGCATAAGAAACATGACATGTCATTGACTACACATCTGGACAAAAGGCAACAAAGGCAAGTCCGGACATTACACACTTACACAGGTGTGACAGGTACTACACATCTGGACAACAGATGCCACTGACAACACACCTGGGCATTGTGTGACAGGTACTACACACACGGGCGTTGTTTGACAGCAAACACACAACCCGACATCAGATGACGGGGGTAACAACACAACATGGCATATGATGTGGTTATATACGGTATAAACACACCTGATTATAACGTTACTCAACCATTACTTCAACTAGCGAGCTGAGATTGGCATCACAAGAGCAAACACCACATTCTAAACAAACCTTTCTACAAGATTATCTTCCTGTGAGTTATATTCAGATGTTCGGCAGGATAGAGTTCATCATTGTTATCCTAACCAATCACAAGTTATCCTGACCAATGACAAGTTATCCTGACCAATGACAAGTTATCCTAACCAATCACAAGTTATCCTGACCAATGACAAGTTATCCTGACCAATGACAAGTTATCCTGACCAATGACAAGTTATCCTGACCAATCACAAGTTATCCTGACCAATCACAAGTTATTTTGACCAAGGAGTCTGTCAAACTACTTCAATTATAGTCTATGTCTAACACAGAAACAAATCATTTTTTCAAGTGAATAAATTGTGCTCTGATTTTATCTTCAAAAACATAAAGTGCCTAGATGTCGACAAAACATGGAATAAGTAACTCGAGAACTCATGATAGACAAAAAAGCAACATCAGCCAAATGATGTCATAGATCGATACCCATTTAAAGGTAATCATTTTTTGTTTAAATCAAAATCTACCAGAAACCAAATGGCTAAAAAGAAATTCCTTTCACGAAATCAGCAAACGCCACATCAAATAACGATAACTCTGTAGTCACGGGTGTTCTGGGCGAGAATATTTAAGAAATCATTACGTACATTATTATATAACTTCACCAACTTGGTATCTACCATTACTTTAATTAAACTAATCAGAAAATCCACTACAAAATATTTTATCTCTCAACCGTTTTCAGCAGAAAATCTTTATACCGCGAGAGTATATTCAACAAATACCTATGTAATCAAGATTTACTCATCTAGTAGGCCTACTTATTATAAAAACATGATTACAAAGACGTTGAAAGCAGATCACTTCTTTGAATAGGGCGCTAACACAGATACAGATACAGAAAAGAGCAAGCTTAAATACATTACGTTGTTTTTTTAAAAAACAACAACAACAAAAAAACAGGATTATTCCAAGAACGTACACAGTACAAAAATACAAAAAAGTACAAAAATACACGTAAAATTTTGAAAACAATTTAGTCTTCAGAATACAAAATAAAAATATATAATTAAAAACAAACCTCTAAATAAAGGATATAAAACATTTAGAACTACATTTAAAAACGTATGACAAATCCGCTCATGATGATTGCAAATACGAACAAGGATGCTCGTAAAACATGACTTAATAAAGTCAGGTGGTCTGAAAATTTGACTGACAAGATTTATCAGCTCTCAGTCATTGAGTGATGACTGCTGTTAGTGAGTGGACATCAACTGTCTGTCATTGACTGGACATTAAATGTTTGTCATTGACTGGACATCAACTGTCTGTCATTGACTGGACATTAAATGTTTGTCATTGACTGGACATCAACTGTCTGTCATTGACTGGACACTGGGCAAGCAGAAAGCGAGCACCAAAACGCATATGACATACAAACAATCACAAACACACAAGCAGTCAAGATTGTGTTGTATCTTCGCTCTCCACTCATTGTAGACAATTAGAAATTTAAAAATCTGACTTAAATTAAAAAAAAAAAGTATTACAAACACACTCAATGTTTTCGCGACATTTTGATGTGTTCGTAACGAAATCAAAACGTGTTCGCTACAAGTTATCGATACATTCTCTAGATCAATTCAAATTGGAAACCCTAATTTTTAATTCAAACTAATTTTAAACGACCTAAAAGAATATGTCGGCAAACTCGAAAACTGAAAAAAAAAATCCTCATTAGTTTGAACTCTAGTTTAATTGGTACATTTTCTTCCCATAAAAAATATATAACAAATATTGCATTATCTAGCAGAAAATAAACCCATTAACTTAATTTAACACCATTAAATTAATTTACTTGATTAGCAAAATGAAATACTTGCCGGAACATAAATTAACAACTGTTTTTAAAAGCAAGAGTGTACAAAAAATGCCGCAAGTAAATTATATTTAGATAAAAAATATTTTTAAAATAAAGTTTTTGTAATTATGTTTTTTGATGGAATTGTTTCGTATTTTTGTGTCGCCGACAAAATTATTGAATTTTTACAAATTTCATTTGGTTTGAAAGAAAATAACAAATGATCAAAATATGGAGTAAGCGCACGTACAACAGAATAGAATTATCTCAAACAGGAAAAATAGTATAGCGAAACGCAAAATAGCGAGAAGCTGTTAAAAAATGTCATGCACAAATTACAGGTAAGTTATAATGTTAGTTAGGACTGAAAGAAAATTGAAGTTGTTAACCTGTTATTACGTCGTTAATGACACATTCGAAGATCTAAAAATATTCTGCGAACAAACTATCTGAAAGCCTGACAAAAGTTGATTTATTTTGATATAATAATACACCCCCGAGGTAAAAATACAACGCACCAATGGAGGGAATTAATTAATTGAAATTAAATTAACGAAACATTTTTTTAAGCAACGAATAAAATATATTACATTTAAGCCTTGGAAGTGTTAATCCAATCCGTGTTTATCTTTTCGATTTGTTTGTTTTATTTCAAAATATAAACATTCGAATGAAACCATGTTTATAATGCTCTCTTTGAAACCCTGACAAATTTTAATGTTATAGTGCTTAGGTAAAACTAGGTATAACCTGAAAATATTTTCAGTTTTTTTTTTAAGTCAACACAAATTTTTAAAATTTGAAAATGTAATTAATTTACTAAGTTAGTAGCATCTTTTATTAATAATGTTACATTTATTTATTCACGCAATTATCAACGGCTGTTTGAGGGATTTTAATTTTATTTGTTTTTATTTTCGTAATGACTGGGTTTATGGTTGTTTTAGTTAGATAGTGTTAGTGTCAGTTAAAACCGTATGTTATTAGTTAGTAGCAAGGGTTAGGGTAAGTAAATGCTTGATGATTTAGTTAGTAGCTTGGGTTAGGGTTAGTTGAAAACGTATAAAAATGATCGTGGTTTACTTTAGTTAGTAGCTTGGGTTAGGGTTAGTGGAAAACGTATAAAGAGGATCGTGGTTTACCTGTAGTAATGAGAGCTGTAGAGAAGAAAAACAAAACGTCACAAAAATTACCGTCAGGTGAGTGAGTTCAATCAACAAACAGGCGAACGAACACGTGACTCGTAGCAATAAACACTACCCCGGGTACTAAGCTCAATCTAAATCAAGTTATTTTTTTTTCTGGAAACAACATAAAAAAAATTCCATTATAATTCAATATAACGTATGCGAAACACATAGTACGCAAAACAAAACAAAAATAATTGCAAACAAATTTAACGTAACGATCTTTAAATTAATTTGTACTTCTAGCCTAAACGTCAACGAATCGAGTTTTAAATTTAAAATAGTACAAAACATCGGAAAAACGAGAAACATTTGGAGAATCCCAAAGTACCAAGGGACTCAACCCAATAACAAGTATTACGATTTAATCGGGGAGTAGTTTCCCTTGTATTGCAAGTGGACTGACCTTGTATCTATGTGGTGGAGTTGGATGTTGGTGAAGACGATTTTGACGATCTCGCCCTGCTGACCAAAGAACCGGTACCGGCAGGCCGTGTTTGGCCGGTAGTTCTGTGGGTAGAAGGGGGAGAAGAACCGGCCGCTGGTGTGGGAGCTGTTGCTGTGGAAGTCGTAGACACAGCTCCTGTCGTCCACCCTCGTCCCTGTGGTCGTGTAGTTTCCTGCAACAGTAAGATGGGGGTAGGTGAAGGTTAGGTGAAGGTTAGGTGAAGGTTAGGTGAAGGTTAGGTGAAGGTTAGGTGAAGGTTAGGTGAAGGTTGGGTGAAGGTTAGGTGAAGGTTAGGTGAAGGTTAGGTGAAGGTTGGGTGAAGGTTAGGTGAAGGTTAGGTGAAGGTTAGGTGAAGGTTGGGTGAAGGTTAGGTGAAGGTTAGGTGAAGCTAGGGTTAGGTGATGGTAGGGTTGTGATCAGCTGAATCGGAATTATGGCTAGATTAAATCAGAGTTGGGATTAGTTTAACACTGAGTTAGGATTAATTTTGTAGTGAGGATTGGGTAGGGGACTATGGCGTGACGGGCGGGGGGATGCGGCATGGTGACACATCACAACAGTGATTAGACACAATCAGACAGAGGGAACAACACAGCGTCCTCTCTCTTTATAATTACAGAAATATATTTTCTCTAGAAACATTCACAAAATTCATGAGCTAGGCGTTTGAAATCGATTAAAATTTAACGTTTCGGCGTGGTCGGCTTAGTTAAGCTGATGCTGATAAGTCCCGAGTTGAACCCCCGGACAGACGAGTCTTGATAGCTGGGGACAGTAACTCTGCTAGGAGAGGCTCGATTGCTGGGGGTAGCATCCCATCTAGGAGAGACAACTCCATAATCAAACAACTGTTGCCTTGTAATTTGTTCTTAGATGGATAATGGCTACTGATGCAATTCAAGGCTGAAATACATGCTGAAATCTGAGTAAACGGCTCATATGGCGCTTAGCCGGTTCACCAAAAGGTTACGATTGAAGTCCCATGATTACCACATGGGAGTGCCTGAGGGTATGGGTGGAATTTTACAGGTGGCTGACAGTGACAGTGACATTTCACAGGTGAGTGACAGTGCCAGTGACATTTCACAGGTGAGTGACAGTGCCAGTGACATTTCACAGGTGAGTGACAGTGCCAGTGACATTTCACAGGTGAGTGACAGTGCCAGTGACATTTCACAGGTGAGTGACAGTGTCAGTGGCATTTCACAGGTGAGTGACAGTGCCAGTGGCATTTCACAGGTGAGTGACAGTGTCAGTGGCATTTCACAGGTGAGTGACAGTGCCAGTGACATTTCACAGGTGAGTGACAGTGCCAGTGACATTTCACAGGTGAGTGACAGTGCCAGTGACATTTCACAGGTGAGTGACAGTGCCAGTGACATTTCACAGGTGAGTGACAGTGCCAGTGGCATTTCACAGGTGAGTGACAGTGCCCTTACAGTGCCAGTGACATTTCACAGGTGAGTGACAGTGCCAGTGACATTTCACAGGTGAGTGACAGTGTCAGTGGCATTTCACAGGTGAGTGACAGTGCCAGTGACATTTCACAGGTGAGTGACAGTGCCAGTGGCATTTCACAGGTGAGTGACAGTGTCAGTGGCATTTCACAGGTGAGTGACAGTGCCAGTGACATTTCACAGGTGAGTGACAGTGCCAGTGACATTTCACAGGTGAGTGACAGTGCCAGTGACATTTCACAGGTGAGTGACAGTGCCAGTGACATTTCACAGGTGAGTGACAGTGTCAGTGGCATTTCACAGGTGAGTGACAGTGCCAGTGGCATTTCACAGGTGAGTGACAGTGCCAGTGACATTTCACACGTGAGTGACAGTGCCAGTGACATTTCACAGGTGAGTGACAGTGTCAGTGGCATTTCACAGGTGAGTGACAGTGCCAGTGACATTTCACAGGTGAGTGACAGTGCCAGTGGCATTTCACAGGTGAGTGACAGTGCCAGTGACATTTCACAGGTGAGTGACAGTGCCAGTGGCATTTCACAGGTGAGTGACAGTGCCAGTGACATTTCACACGTGAGTGACAGTGCCAGTGGCATTTCACAGGTGAGTGACAGTGCCAGTGACATTTCACAGGTGAGTGACAGTGCTAGAACAGGATGGTCGATGGTGCCGTGACCGGAAACCATTCAAGTGTTTGCATATGACGCCACGATCCTTGGCTCGAAGCGCGCGCAGTGGGGGTGGTTTAGATCTTCCGCACCATTGGAGCGGAAAGTGAAAACAGTCAGATCGATCAAGGCTAGTAGAAAATAAAAGTCCTAGAGACGCCCCTTGTGTTCGCTGTTGGTTGGTTGGTTTAAAGTTTGTACACTTTAGAACGTTGGAGAAAATGTACTTTGAGACAAACCCAGCTTGAGAGTTTGTGTCTAGCGACAGCTGATGTTCGCCTGATGACAAGTACTGTTTGGAGATAGTTGCCCAGCTACTCTGTCTAATTTGAGTAAGAGTTACTCCTCCTGCTGGAACACTAATGCTGTTAACGGTTTTGGCAATTGTGTAGAAAACAGCGAGCAGCCTCCCAGAAGTACCATAGTGAGTACGGCTAATACGCAGGGTGGGGGTGGGGGGGGGGAAGGGTGGTGGGTGGGGAGGGGTGGTTCTGTGAGTACCGCAGACGACCGTTGAGGGGAGGAGAGGAGGATTCCTGCCGGTCGACAACTGTTGGCTGAGTGATTAGGTCATCATTGACGTGTGACGTCAATTTGTCGCACTTTTGTTTCTGGAATTGCCAGGCCAGGTTCTAGACTTTGAGGCCACGAGTTTTATTGAGGTTGATTTTGTTGTTGATGGTTGTCCTCTGGTGGTACATCGAGTGATGGTGCGTCTTGTTGAAATGGTCTGTAAATTCATTGAAACTTAGCAACTGTACCAAGTGCTGGTGCGTCTTGTTGAAATGGTCTGTAAATTCATTGAAACTTAGCAACTGTACCAAGTGCTGGTGCGTCTTGTTGAAATGGTCTGTAAATTCATTGAAACTTAGCAACTGTACCAAGTGCTGGTGCGTCTTGTTGAAATGGTCTGTAAATTCATTGAAACTTAGCAACTGTACCAAGTGCTGGTGCGTCTTGTTGAAATGGTCTGTAAATTCATTGAAACTTAGCAACTGTACCAAGTGCTGGTGCGTCTTGTTGAAATGGTCTGTAAATTCATTGAAACTTAGCAACTGTACCAAGTGCTGGTGCGTCTTGTTGAAATGGTCTGTAAATTCATTGAAACTTAGCAACTGTACCAAGTGCTGGTGCGTCTTGTTGAAATGGTCTGTAAATTCATTGAAACTTAGCAACTGTACCAAGTGCTGGTGCGTCTTGTTGAAATGGTCTGTAAATTCATTGAAACTTAGCAACTGTACCAAGTGCTGGTGCGTCTTGTTGAAATGGTCTGTAAATTCATTGAAACTTAGCAACTGTACCAAGTGCTGGTGCGTCTTGTTGAAATGGTCTGTAAATTCATTGAAACTTAGCAACTGTACCAAGTGCTGGTGCGTCTAATTGAAATGGTCAGTAAACTCATCCAACTTCAACATCTTCAGATTGTAACAAACAAGCATATCACATAGGTATTTGAAAAGTGAATGTGACATCAATAGTATTGGGAATACGTCACTCATCTTGAAAATACGTCACTCATCTTGGAAATACGTCACTCATCTTGAAAATACGTCAATCATCTTGGAAATACGTCACTCATCTTGGAAATACGTCACTCATCTTGAAAATACGTCAATCATTTTGAAAATACGTCAGTAATCTCGAGAGGGGTCGTTGTGTAATAACGTTACAATATACCACTTTTCTGGGATTTTCCAGATTTTCCAGGAATTTGTGAGAATCCACTTGACTTACTTCAAATCGTTTAAACTTTTTCTTTTCAAACTTTCCCCACGGTACTACCGTCCACTTCCCCACCCCAGGCCAAATCGATTGCATTGGAGAAGTTGTCTTGCCATTTCTACAGTACCAGTGTTTTAATAGTACATCAAAACTTTCACACTATCACATCAATTTTTCACACTAATCATATCAATTTTTCACACTAATCATATCAATTTTCCCCCTTACCCCAGGTGACTAGAGAAATGAAATAAAAGCAATTTAGCCACTCCCCGTTAGGCGTACACCAAGGGAGACGGTTTCAGCTTAAAGAAATAAAAAACGATTCTAACCTATTTATCACATCCTTATAATAAGACCAGTTCTATCGGGTCGGCTGTTATAGGACATGATCAGGGGAGGGGACTTGAGGGGTGGGCTGTGAGGGGTGTAGACATTGAGGGGAGGCCATCAGGGGAGTGGAGGGTGGGCTATCAGGGGAGTGAAGGGTGGGCTATCAGGGGAGTGGAGGGTGGGCTATCAGGGGTGTGGAGGGTGGGCTATCAGGGGAGTGGAGGGTGGGCTATCAGTGGAGGGTGGGCTATCAGGGGAGTGGAGGGTGGGCTATCAGGGGTGTGGAGGGTGGGCTATCAGGGGTGTGGAGGGTGGGCTATCAGGGGAGTGGAGGGTGGGCTATCAGTGGAGGGTGGGCTATCAGGGGAGTGGAGGGTGGGCTATCAGGGGTGTGGAGGGTGGGCAATCAGGGGAGGGTGGGCTATATGGGGAGGGTGGGCTATCAGGGGAGTGGAGGGTGGGCTATCAGGGGAGTGGAGGGTGGGCTATCAGGGGAGTGGAGGGTGGGCTATCAGGGGAGTGAGGGTGGGCTATCAGGGGAGTGGAGGGTGGGCAATCAGGGGAGGGTGGGCTATCAGTGGAGGGTGGGCTATCAGGAGAGTGGATATTGTTGCTGGGCTATCAGGGAATTATATATTGAGGGTGGGCGTTTAAATGAGTAGATATTGAGGGTATGCTTTTAGGGGAGTAAATATTGAAGGCTGGCTATTAGGGAAGTAGGCATCAAGGATGGGCTAAGTGGGAGGTCACGAGTGGTCTGTTAGGACAAAATACTAAAGGGTGACGGGACTATCAAGGGAGTAAGAACGCGTACCACATCTAGTGTAAATACAATGAGGTTAAAGTTTACCAGGTTCGAACGGTTGAGTCATTGAATGCTGTTTGGAGATAAGTACCCTAAATACACGATTACCGAAGACAAGTTAACTGACCTACTTTTATGGGACCATAAAAATATCGACCTACTTTTGTCCAGAAACTGGAAATTGCCCTTAAATCCGGTATAATTTCCCGGCCTCCCTAACCGGAAGTCGGAATGGAACTCTAGCACCATGCTCCTGCCGGCACTGTAGACCGTGTTCTGGATGGAGCCGTACCCCCCGCAGAACTCCAGGTCGTGCACGCTGTGTTCGTTCACTTCCGGTCGCTCCAGGTTTTGGTAGATCCGTAAAAAATCGTTGCATCTCCTGGGGAAAACAACGAAACAATTTGTGGTTTTTACATAATGGCAGACAGGTGATGAGTTAATCTATCATATTATGATGTGAAGTCTCCTTTCGCAACATTAATTTAGTTAGATCATGTATGATTGTCACCCATAAGTCCCGAGTTCGGACCCACGCCTGTAAGAGGTTCATTAGCCGGGGGCAAAAACCCAAATAAGAAAAAAAAACACTTCAAAATCAAACAACTGCTACCTGACACATTATTCTGGAAGCAAATCCAGAATGAAAATTAGGTTGAAGTGGAGTCAATAGCCTATATGGCGCTTAACATGTTGGCTAATAATATATAACTCTGTTGAAAGAAATCTAATTCAATACTACAAGCTGGAAGAAGAAACGTAAAGTGATGTTTTTCTAAAGTGGAAAACATTTGTATATTGTATCAAGAATTCAAGATAGGAGGTGATTCTTCTTTTAAAATGCGTCGTTAAAATACAAAAAAAAACAACATATTTTTAATGCCCGAATCTTCAGTTCAATACAACTCAAAAATCACCAGTAAAATCTACAGGTTGTACGTCTCCACAGGGTTTAGACATTTAAACTAACGATGTTCTCAAGGTTTGGGTTCGCCGGCATGTTGATTCAGAAAAGTTCGCCAAAAGCTCCGTTAATCAATGTTCGCCAATAGATGCCTGCTGGCGCAGCCACGCGAAATTATTAGAAGCAGAATGTTCGTTTCTGGGAGGGCAGAGGCAAGGCGAAAAGCAATATAATTCCTCCCATAGCAGGTCCGTAGAGTCAGCCTAGCGAGAAATTGAGTGGGGGCTACATCATATCTACAAGCTTTCAAATCATTGGGAATGTTGTGTATGGCTGTGGGAGGGGTGGTGTTGGATGTAAGAGCCAGGGCTATTACTACAGCGATAAATCAGGAGGAGGGTGTCACTAGATGTAAGGGCCGAGGCCATTACCAGCACTGGGACGGCACCAGAGAGTTGACAGCCTGGACCAAATCATCTCTGACACCTTAAGCGATGGTAAGGGCAGGCGTTAGCAAGTGCTCAATTTGGTTTCATGCTCCAGAAACATCACCGTCGTCTTAAGCTGTAGTAGAGATTCGGACAAGTGCAATGTAGGCACACGCCCAGGCCAACATACGGTCAAGATACCAGGCCAACAAGAACCACAGTCAATGTATGTTACAGCAAATAATCCACGCTAACAGAAACGTTACAGCAAATAATCCACACTAACAGAAACGTTACAGCAAATAATCCGCACTAACAGAAAAGTTACATCGAATAATCTGCACTAACAGAAAAGGTACAGCGAATAATCCGCACTAACAGAAACGTTACAACAAATAATCCACACTAAAAGAAACGTTAAACCAAATAATCCGCACTAACAGAAACGTTACAACAAATAATCCGCACTAAAAGAAACGTTAATGAATATGCTTTACAACAAAATAAGGCAAATCGTACAGGAGCACTACAACTTATCATTTGCGAAAACAAAGATGAGAAAAATATTCATTAATGTTTTAATTAATTAAAAATTGTTAACGACTTAATTATTGATAGAATGGAGTGGTCGAGTGTCAGATATCTGAATAGCCAAGCCAGCGAGTTCCAAGTATGGAGTAAATTTGTGGGGAAAGTCAAAACGGCTGGGCATATACAATCCTCCGTGTATCGTGGTATAAGAACCAGAGAGACTCTACTTTATCTGCACAATGTCTGATTGGATACTTAACGTGTAGAGTTATGTTCATTTTCTTATGGCTGCTGACTTCACGCTATAAACTGTAGCTGATTTACTCTCTGCATAGGTGTCGATTCGATCTAGTGATCAAATGTTTCAATTAATATTTCTGAATTTTTTTATTTCATTTATTTATTTGAAAATTTTCTTTTTCTTTTTAAAATTTATATTTGTTTTTGGGATGGGGGGGGGGGGGGATGTTTTTAATACAAACGGAACGTTACACGAAATTTAAAACGTGAATTTTTCAACTTTGTCTAATCTTGCACGGTGTTGTATGCACATCAGCTGCCGAAGGGGAAATAAATATCTGCCCATCCAGGAATCAAACTATTGATTTTATAACGGTAGCGCTAATATCGAATTCCACAACTTTCTGCGTGGCGGTAGACTTGAAAGAAAACAATCCCCGCTAATTGCGGTGTAATTATAGCCAATCCCAGGCGTAAAAAGTCTGCGGCGAAATTAGTAAACATTGATAGTTTAGAGTAAATGCCGTCCTTAAGATGCTGCGCTCCAGTACTCCCCCGGCGCTAGATCTTACTTTGTCAGGATCACTACACAGGTATTTGGATATTTGTTACATTAGTACACGAGATGACCCCCCCCCCCCCCCACTAGATCTTACTTTCTCAGGATCACTACACCAGGTATGGGGGTATTTGTTACATTAGTACACGAGATGCAACCCCCCCCCCCCCCCGCCACTAGATCTTACTTTGTCAGGATCACTGTCCTAGGTATGGGGGGTATTTGTTACATTAGAACACGAGATGAACCCCTCCCCCCAACTAGATCTTACTTTGTCAGGGTCAATGCACCAGGTATGGGGGTATTTGTTATATTAGAACAAGACGATCTAATGTGAACGTAAATAAAACCTGGTACCATCTTACAGCGGTAGCCTCACATTACGTACAGGGAGACAATTGAAACTGACTGAATTGTTGTCCTAGGAAATAAATTCGCTAAATATAGTAAAATAAAAAAATGAAAATGTAGAAAAAAGCTACAAATATAAAAAAAAACACAGAAAAACTTACAAAAAACATAGGAAAATAATAGTTTGCTGTTGATGTACTAAACCCATCTTGACAATATTTCAACCAAATTAAATACCAACATGTAATTCGCAACTTACAATTCCCAAAATTGAAACAATTTTCCTTGAAAAATTATTTTTATATGTTGTTTCTGTAAATATTACTTTTAATTTTTTTCTGTGGGTCTTAGTGTGATGTTTAAGTAATTCTTTTTCTATTAATTCTATTTGTGTCTATTTCTGTGTATATTAATACAGCGGTCCTTTGATCAGTCCCAACCGGCAAATTGTAATTTATCGATCTACGTTAGTTCTATTGATCTTTAAAATAGTTGTTGTTCGATGATTCGGTATTTGTAAAATGACGCTTTAGTAAGACTGTTTTCTGACACTAACAAAGTAATTCCATTTAGATCGGATATTCAGAGTCGGATTATCTACTGCAGTCAATTTCTCAGCAAATACACAAACATGCACACAAACGCATACGCACACAGACACACGCACACACACACACGCACACACACACACGCACATATATATATATATATATATATATATATATATATATATATATATATATATATATATATATATATATATATATATATACTTATTTTTTTATGGATTTATTTATTTATCTTTCTATTAATTATAGGTTGAGAGGGATGTGGGTCGTCTTTCAAGTAAGTTCAGTCGTCTTATACGCCGGAAATAATATATATACCTATACATTACATTACATTACATTACATTACATTACATTACATTACATTACATTACATTACATTACATTACATTACATTACATTACATTACATTACATTACATTACATTACATTACATTACATTACATTACATTACATTATATATATATATATATATATATATATATATATATATATATATATATATATATATATATATATATATATATATATATATATATATATATATAGCATGGGTTTGGGTGTGTGTGTGTGTTGTGTATATAAAATGTAACGACATACTCTCACTTATCACCGACTGTTCCAGCTATAGTGCCCCTATACTCCAGCAGACAATTAAATGTAAATTAGTCATTAACCGGAGCAGGTAAATAAATCCCCAACGACGTCGTCTGTCTGCCGTGTCGCCTGATGCGTCCATCCTACGGCTGCCTGCCAGACGGATTAACAACGACTTAGGTGAACAAAGGATGGCCATGCGAGCATCGATCCAGTTCAAACAGAATTATGCAAGTCAGCAGATTAGGGGAGACTTTACCTGACGAGTAGGAGGTCGAGTTTCCCCTTCTAAGAATGTTTGTAAGTTTTCAATACCGGCCACAAAAACAAGTGGTACCATTACTTTAAAAAAGCAAAGCATTACCAGTTTATACACGTTTTTAGTAAAAAAAATATCAATAATATACTTTTAAAAAAATCAGGAATATATGCATAAAGTACTTTTACATGTTAACTTATATATATATATATATATATATATATATATATATATATATATATATATATATATATATCAATAATTAGATATAGATAATTTGTATAGATGTATTCCTGAAACAATCTGGCCAGTGTGATAAGGTTATCTCTGCTCCCCATAACAAAAGAACATTCTGTCTGTCTGCGGTTGCGAGGAAGAAATTGCCAATTAGATAAACAACATTTCCAGTTTGATTATTTCCCTTTTACACCGTCCCGAGCAACAGTTCAGTCTGGGGGAAATAAGTTGAGCAAGAAGAAAATGAATTGTTTACAGTAAAACCATCCATTTCTGGGGTCTTTCAATTATCTACCAGCCAAGGAAACAGCGTTGGTCACACCTTTATTGTAGGCATTGTCCAATTACTGCTGGGTACTCAGTCAGCTGACACAGACATCGTATGCTGGAGAGTAGGTCACCATGACCTCATCATTTTTTATTTCGTTGATTTTTTAATGTCTCGTCTTTTTACTGAGCAGTCTGTACGTCGACTTGACAGGCACCACAGTTACAGCTTCCCGTAAACAACCTTCCATTGAATCCACAAGACGCACGAATTTAAAACTCACTAATTAAGATCAATTAAAACTCATCTATCTTTTAAAACCACGTCATGCCACGTCAGCAAATTGCCAGGGACACAAAGGCCACGGGCAATGGGAGAATATTGACGTCACGTGACCGCTTTCTCGTCCCACAGATATAAAAATTGATGTAAACACTAATAATTCAAGCGTGAAGATTTCTAAACCATAACCTCAATGGGTTTAATATTGAAGATGTCAACAAACAGTAATAGCGTCTTGGTTTGAGTAGATTTTTTGCGTCCTTTTGCCGAAGGCGAGACTAGCGAAATACGTTTTTATATTTGAGCTACTAGTAATATCTATTTGGATTATGCACGTGCCCAACACAATTTTTACTCATCTGATCTAATTCGGAAAGTAATTATGCCCAACATAATAACTTACCCGTCGCGCGCTTTGCTATGATCTATTCTAATACACAGTGTGACGCAACATTTTATAACAGCTTCACCAACGCGTTACAAATTGTGCATTTTTAGATGTGTGACCTTGTTTTCTAAAATAAAGTTATTTAAATGGACGTCGCGGGGCGCTCTCGGGATCCACCGATTACACTACAACAGGGGCGTCCGGTGTGTCCACCTGGTTCGGTTTAGTCATCATGTGTTGTGTGTCATCATAGTGTCATCCATAGTGTATGGTGTTCTTTAAAATGAATGTATGTGCTATGGTGTTCAGACAGGAGCCAGGGGCGCACCGGGTCAACCGATCGTCGGGATGCTGGTTGGCGATTTAGTCGTCTATTATAGTGGCCCACTGTATATATTGTGGATGGAACCTTTTGAAACGATCGTAGGTACCATATACATGTATACTATTAACTAAAACATACACATTTTGAATACTTTGTGAAGCAACCTTCAATTAAGCTCCCTTCACATTACCGCCAAGGCCTCCTCTCTCTAATCAGTCTGGAATTGTCTGTGCTTTACGATTTATGCTTCTGAATCAGCCTAATGATTGCCATTTTTAATCAAGCCGGTCTATAACAAAACAAAACTCAGCCGTTAGAGTGAAAGACAAGTGTTTGTATGGCCGTGATGACGTCATGTGGTCAACTCTCTGATTGATTAGTTGTAACCCGTTTTATGTAGGATTTATTTGACGTAACCAGTTTGATGTAGGATTTATTTGACGTAACCAGTTTGATGTAGGATTTATTTGACGTAACCAGTTTGATGTAGGATTTATTTGACGTAACCAGTTTGATGTTGGATTTATTTGACGTAACCAGTTTGATGTTGGATTTATTTGACGTAACCAGTTTGATGTAGGATTTATTTGACGTAACCAGTTTGATGTAGGATTTATTTGACGTAACCAGTTTGATGTAGGATTTATTTGACGTAACCAGTTTGATGCTGGATTTATTTGAGGTAACCAGTTTGATGTAGGATTTATTTGAGGTAACCAGTTTGATGCTGGATTTATTTGACGTAACCAGTTTGATGTAGGATTTATTTGACGTAACCAGTTTGATGCTGGATTTATTTGACGTAACCAGTTTGATGTTGGATTTCTCTGACATGTCCGACAACCAACTGACAATTCGCGGGACATGGTCGATAACTCTGTGACATGACATCCAGCACTGGTCATGGTCGGCTTATGGTGGAGCTGACATCATGGTCGGCTTATGGTGGAGTATAGTGGAGCTGATATCAGTATCACCCACTGCCAATATTTTTACAACGATCGTTTCCCTCCCTCCCCCCCCCCCCCCCACAGACTTAACTTAGAGAGTTGGATAACCTGCACATCGACTTGACAGGCACCACAGTTAATAGCATCCCTTACACAGTTAACAGCTTCCCTTACACAGTTAACAGCTTCCCTTACACAGTTAACAGCTTCCCTTACACAGTTAACAGCTTCCCTTACACAGTTAACAGCTTCCCTTACACAGTTAACAGCTTCCCTTAAACAACCTTCCGTCATGGATTGTGGCACAGGCTTCGTTTTTTTTTCAAGAAAAGAAACATTGAATTTTTATTTAATGTACGACAATTTTACATGCATTTCTAGCTCTTTATGTTTTTTATATATCTGAAAATTGTGTCATTCCCAAAGTAACCAGTACACATAGTTCAGGATGGTGAGATAAAAGGTGAGACATATAATCAGCACAATTTGTGGGTAGTGGAGAGTTAATAGTTGAGACATATGACCAGTATAATATATAGTTTACAAAAGTTATGAAACGAATCAGGATACGTATCGCAAGTACAAATAGTTCATTGCGTTGAGACAAAACAGTGTAGCGGTAAGAGTGGGAGGAATCTGACCGCAGGGCAGCTAGTGGTCTGTCCGTCTACCTCATTTAGTGGGGTTAATCCAAGCCTCTACAGACACGATTAATTGGAAGCTAACATGGATTAGCCTCCCCCTCCCCACATTAGATTGTGGAAACCAGCCAAGTCAACATTATTCCAACCGTTGGCCAAACAAGCGCAAACATTTGTCATCAAGACTCCAACGTTGGCCCTTCAATACAGAGGCTCACAACTACCATCAAACTATAAACTTAGCAATTCAATACAGAGGGCCAATATCTACCATCAAAGTATACCATTGGCCATTTAATACGTAAGGCCAACATCTATCATCAAACTATACCATTGGCCATTCAATACAGAGGCCAACATCTACCATCGACACGGCCAGTAAAACAGCTGACATGTATTTACCTAGCCCACCATATGTTACACAACTGTATCCCACAACCTGTTGTACAACCAGAAACATGAATCGACTAGCCCACTGTATGTTACACCAGAGTAGCCCACACCTGATGTACAACCAGAAACATGAATCGACTAGACCACTGTATGTTACACAACTGATGTACAACAAGAAACATGAATCGACTAGACCACTGTATGTTACACCAGAGTAGCCCACACCTGATGTACAACCAGAAACATGAATCGACTAGACCACTGTATGTTACACAACTGATGTACAACAAGAAACATGAATCGACTAGCCCACTGTATGTTACACCAGAGTAGCCCACACCTGATGTACAACCAGAAACATGAATCGACTAGACCACTGTATGTTACACAACTGATGTACAACAAGAAACATGAATCGACTAGACCACTGTATGTTACACAACTGATGTACAACAGGAAACATGAATCGACTAGACCACTGTATGTTACACAACTGATGTACAACAGGAAACATGAATCGACTAGACCACTGTATGTTACACAACTGATGTACAACAAGAAACATGAATCGACTAGCCCACTGTATGTTACACCAGTGTAGCCGACAACTGATGTACAACAAGAAACATGAATCGACTAGACCACTGTATGTTACACCAGTGTAGCCGACAACTGATGTACAACAAGAAACATGAATCGAGTAGACCACTGTATGTTACACAACCGGCTGTACAACCAGAAACATGGATCGACTAGACCACCGTATGTTACACAACTGATGTACAACAAGAAACATGAATCGACTAGACCACTGCATGTTACACCAGTGTACCTCACAACTGATGTACAACAAGAAACATGAATCGACTAGACCACTGTATGTTACACAACTGATGTACAACAAGAAACATGAATCGACTAGACCACTGCATGTTACACCAGTGTACCTCACAACTGATGTACAACAAGAAACATGAATCGACTAGACCACTGCATGTTACACCAGTGTACCTCACAACTGATGTACAACAAGAAACATTAATCGACTAGACCACTGTATGTTACACAACTGATGTACAACAAGAAACATGAATCGACTAGACCACTGTATGTTACACAACTGATGTACAACAAGAAACATGAATCGACTAGACCACTGTATGTTACACCAGTGTACCTCACAACTGATGTACAACAAGAAACATGAATCGAGTAGACCACTGTATGTTACACAACCGGCTGTACAACCAGAAACATGGATCGACTAGACCACTGTATGTTACACAACTGATGTACAACAAGAAACATGAATCGACTAGACCACTGTATGTTACACAACTGATGTACAACAAGAAACATGAATCGACTAGACCACTGTATGTTACACAACTGATGTACAACAAGAAACATGAATCGAGTAGTCAGGAAACTCCCAGCGGAATGCTCAACATGATGGTACTCATACAACTTTAATGGACCCCGGCCATTTGATCTACTGGCGTTTTTGTAGGTCAAGGTGACATGGTATGGACAATCAAAACTCAAAGCGAGGCCTACATTAAGGTGGGGGGGGGGTGGTGGTGGTGCAGTTTAAACATTCAACAACAACTTCACGAAGATCTTTTTTTGGTCGGGCGAGAGAGCATTTGACTGCTAACACAGAAGTGTCGAGTTTGGAACCACTGGCTAATGAGGCACTTTATCTGGGGACAGCAGCCTTTTGGCCCATTGGATTTAATGGGCCAAAAGGTGCATAAAAATGGCATTACACAAGTGAATTATGTTGGGAAAATCACCTCCAATAATACAATTGAAACGAAAAAGAAGAAGAATGGATGCTGTTTGTCAGTTTGTTGAGATAGTAGCACCACCTTAGGTACATCATCAACATACTCGGGGGTCTAAGGCGGTTAGGTACAACGATTTACTTTGTTCTTTGATTTACTGAAGGTTATGATTTAAAGGGCATTTGATACACTGAAAAGTATGACTTACTGAGGTCTTTGACTGGGGTCTATGACTTACCCACTGGGGTCTATAACTTACTGGGGTCAGTGACTGAGGTCAGTGACTGAGGTCAGTGACTTACTGACAGTCTATTACTTACCCACTGGGGTCTGGCATTTTCAAGTCGAAGGCGATGAACTGTAGCTCGATGAACTCGAACGAGTCCCCGATGAAAGAGTACAAGATGCAGTTGATGTTGGGTGGGTAGAACTCGGGGTGGTTGGGCGATTGGAAGCAACCTTTGCTGAGGCCGTAGCTCTGGTACACCACACAGTCGCAGGCTGGGGAGGGGGAGGAAGTGGTCAGGTGACGTCAGAACAAAATTTCACTTCGTTGTGTCATTTCTTGTCCTAATAAACCTCCATATGTCATTAAAGTTTAATTTGTCAAGCCTCAAGCGTAGGCTGATAAGTAAAATATTTACCTTTTTGAGCGATTTTAAAGTATGAGATTAGTACCCCCACCGGCTACTATTTGTTTAAGCTCTGAGTTTAAACTCAACTGAATGAAAGTAATTTCTCTGCTTTCTTATTACTTAAATTAAACTTTAAAAAATTGTCCAAATCGGGGAAAAAAAATGCTGCATTAATCAAATATTTCCTGTCATGCTACAGCCCACTCCAAGTTTTAATATGACACCGTCGTGTTATTAACGTCAATCATAAGCGAATAGACTTACCTGCATTACATACAAAATACATACATTGATTTTTAAATAATTACTTTTATGGCAGTTCTAAGGATTTAAGAACAAAACGTGCATTTTTGTGAAAAATTCTAAAATCGATGTAAAAGTGGCATTTTTAGATTGATTGATTTCTTCTTTAAGGAAATTGTTAATTTAATCATCTTAAGTTTTTTGTTCAAATTTTAAAGATAGTAAAATTAATTACTGTAATTAAATTTTTCAAATTTCAAGAATTAGGATTAAGTTAATTTTCCTATTAAATCAATTATTCAAGATGCAATTGATAAAAGCTGAAGCTTATTTTTATATCTTGGTACCTCTCGTTAAATGATAAGTACTCTCATAATTTAAACAATTGAATGTTGCATGATAAGGATCGCTAACACAGTGCTGATTGGCTGAGGAATGGACGAGGGGCGGGGTCGAGATAGAGTACATTTAATCATTGAAAAAATGGATAATTTCAATAAAGGTAAATCACAAAAACAAGAATAAAATACGAAACCAATACATATATGTACATAATTATATAAAGAAATAAAGATATATATATATATATATATATATATATATATATATATATATATATATATATATATATATATATATATATATATATATACATACGTTTATATATGTATGCCTACATTTGCACGCCATTAACACATTTTTTAGCATATGAAAAGCCAAATTGAGTTAGACAGATCTAAATATAGCAACACAAACGGACTCGAGACGACGAAAGGATTACACCGAGAATACAAATAGACAGCAATGGCCAACAAATGGACCACAGCAGGCCAGTAACGACCAGACAGGATTACACTGGACAACTGCCCGTCAACTATTTGCAGACTCGATGAGACAGGGCGACATCGCTGCTGGCTTTACGAGGGGCAGACGTAAGATTAATGGACGTATTGACGTAAGATTAATGAGCGTATTGACTTAGGATTAATGGACAGCTACTAGACAGACAATTGTGAAGCTAACAGCCCGATATTAAATGTAACCGTAGGCGGGGGGACATTTTTCTCATTACGGACAGAATTGTGTCTGCGTCTGGTTGTTTCGTCTACAATCCTACCTAATCGTGTGTGTATGTCTGTATGTGTGTGTGTGTGTGTGTCTCGTTTTATATTTTTTTAATAATCATAATTTGTTTCAACATTCTAGTGTCCCAGCCTTATGGCCAACATCATTTTGCCCCAGCCGTATTATAACATTATTGTGTCCCAGCCTCATGGTCAACATCATTCTGTCCCACTATTATGGCCAACATCGTTATGGCCTAGTATTATGGCCGACACCATTGGCTACTAATAACGAATATCATTATGCCCTACTCACCCATCTACTAGATTGTATGACACTACCACAAACGTATGACTTCTCATCTTGTTTACCACAAACCTATGACTTCTCATCTAGTTTACAACAACCGTATGACTTCTCATCTAGTTTACTAATGTCGACAAACGTATGACTTCACATCTAGTTTACCACAAACATATGACTTTACCAATGTTGGACGGTGCTATTCTGTAACTAGGCAACAATAATTTAATTTCTGACTATTTCACCCGGTAAATTTTTAAAATGCAATTTCATTTCCTATCGATCTCAGCCTAATCCCCAGTACCCCCCCCCCCTCCCGACTGTTTACACACATTAAAACCTGAGGTTAAACTGCATTTAATATTAGCATGGTCTCGTCAGCATTGGGGATTTGGCCGAGATTGGCTCGGCCGTATAAAAACAGGAGCTATGAGAGTAGGAGAGTGTTCTATGGAGAGCGGGAGAGTGTTCTATGGATAGCGGGAGAGTGCTGAAAGTGTTTCTGGCACTTCCTGTGCCCACACTCACCACTTGATTAGCGGTCAGTGCCTGTCCGTTACATTATTTATTCCGTCATGTTTGTAGAGGCCTAACAGCGGATTTGCTGCGCTATTATACGTGGTCTCGGCTAGGCTACATCACAGGATTCCAGTCATTGCTGACAATTATCCTGACTTGTAGGTGGCGCTGGGGGCTGGACTTCAAACAGAACAGTAATGACAGCAACACGACAATCACTTCATGAGATGAAACTTTTTTAATTAGTGCCGGGACTTAAGACTCGAACTCGCGAGTGAGTATGAAAGGGCAAACATTCCGGGTTCAATTATTCATTCTAGAGTCTGTGAGTGTAGGGGTTTAGTAGGGGTGATGGAGGGTGGTGAGTTGGTAGGTAGGTAACCAGAAATGTTGAATGGTTGAGTGTGTTAATGTGTGGGTGGACTGTGTCAATGTGTTGGTGTAGTGTGTGTTGGTGTAGTGTGTGTTGGTGGAGTGTGTGTGGGTGATGGAGTGTGTGTGTGGGTGATGGAGTGTGTGAGGGCATACAGGCACTTTAAACGACTGTTTGTGTGGGTGTGTGGACGAGATGGAGTGAGGTGTAGGTTTTTAGCCGTGTTTAATAATTGTTTGTGAGGTTTGAGGTGTGGGTGTGTGAGTGTGTGTGGAAATTATTGGTATACATCCAATTATGGACAGTTTATGTGGGTGTAGTATGCGTGTGTTAGAGTATCCATCGAGCTTAAATAATGTAATGTTTGTGTGATAGTGTGTGAGTGGGGAAGTGGGAGGGTGTGGGGTATCCGTCGAAGTTGAGTGTGTGGGTGAGGTGTTTGTGTGAGTGTGTAGGTCGATGAAAAATGGAGAGTTAAATTCTGCTGTTAGATGGGACATGGGGACGTGACGATTTCAATTTCCTACAAGTGCAGAGGGGGGTGGGTCGGGGGTGGTGAGGAGTTTGGGTAGGGGTGGAGGTTGGGGTGGGGGTGGGGAGGAGTTTGGGTGGGGGTGGATGTTGGGGTGGGGGTGGGGGTGGTGAGGAGTTTATTTCCCAAGTGCTCATCCCAACAATTCTCAGCAGTCGGTTTTTGCTCGTGCTATCAGAAAATTGTAATTGCTTTTCTAGGAGCTACTCGTTTATATATTTACATGTATAGATAGATTGGTACAGATATAGATTAATACACAAACTATAATGGCCGCATTTGTTACACGTAACTGCCTGTTGTGCGAACACTATACCAATAAAGTACCTCACTTTTATTATCTCCCTTGAATTTCAACGGTTATGTCCATAAAAGTCACACAAAAAAACGACAATTATTTTTCAGGGGTTTACTGGTGCAGAAAAAGAATTTTAACATATGGGCTTATCTGCCCATTACCAGATATGTTTGGTTGGGATTATCTGCCATTGACATGGTGGTGTCTTTCAGACCATGACTTTCAAGGCTGATCAGTTCGTGTTTGTCACACATGTCAACGGTCTGGTCACGCTTGTTGACGTCATCCCATCACACATTAGCCTGGTATCCGCTTGTTGACGTCACCCAATCACGCATTAGCCTGGTATCCGCTTGTTGAAGGCCAACAAAAGATCTCAATCTAGAGCAGCACACAATGCATGCAGCATGCAGTGATGGTCGACCAACACGTTTGCTACAGATGCTGTTGATGATCTCGTTATTTTAACAGCCGAATAGAGGGCTGGGCTTGTAAGGTGGTGAATGGAGGTCGGTTGGATCACGTTAACAGCATCTAGATTAAGACTAGAAAACCATCACTAGCATACCATCACTAGACAACCATCACTAGACAACCATCATCAGACAACCATCACTAGACAACCATCATCAGACAACCATCATCAGACAACCATCATCAGACAACCATCACTAGACAACCATCATCAGACAACCATCATCAGACAACCATCACTAGACAAGCATCACTAGACAACCATCACTAGACAACCATCCCTAGACAACCATCACTAGCAAACCATCACGAGACAACCATCACTAGACAACCATCCCTAGACAAGGATGACAAAAGCCCGAATGTGACACAACGTGTAAAAAATGTCTACACACAATGATTAATGTCTTAAGTCAAGCTCAAGAGATTAAAGGTGGTTACACATTGTTTGGTTTTATTCCAACAATCTTTACACTCCAATAATGGCGAGCCAATGATCATCATCGTCCTAAGATGTTTCCATAACAACAAATATTTGATGTTCGAGTTGGTGATGATATGAACCATTAGGTTAGAATCGACTTGAATGGTGTACTTCTGGGGAAGATGGATCGATTTCTTCAACACCTATGTGCCGGCTAGATTAGCATCTTGGTGCCGTTGGCAGGGGAGCCAGTCGTAGAGCACCTTAGTGAACCACCTGTTGGAGTCTTGTGTAGGACGCCAGTCGTAGAGCACCATAGTGAACCACCTGTTGGAGTCTTAGTGTAGTTTAGGGCGCCAGTCGTAGAGCACCATAGTGAACCACCTTTTGGAGTCTTGTGTAGGGCGTCAGTCGTAGAGCACCCTAGTGAACCACCTATTGGAGTTGATGTAGTGTAGGGCGTCAGTCGTAGAGCGCCCTAGTGAACCACCTTTTGGAGTCTTGTGTAGGGCGCCAGTCGTAGAGCACCATGTGAACCAACTATTGGAGTCTTAGTGTAGTGTAGGGCGTTCGTCTCACAAGCACCCTCGGTAAACAATAAGTTAGATTTTTTGTTTAGTGGGGCGTTTGATCGTACAGCACCCTAGCTGAACACTTGTCTGACTCTTGGTGTAGCGTCGGGCGCCGGTAGTATAAGCACCCCCCCGTGAGCCAACTGCTAGACTCTTGGTTTAGTAGGGCGCCGGTCGTACAGCACCCTAGCTTAACACTTGTCTTGGTGTAGCGTTGTGCGCCGGTCGTCCAAGAATCCCCAGTGAGCCAACTGCTAGACTTATGGTTTAGTAAAACTACTGGCGTGCGGCCTCATCAACTCTGAACTAAACATTATTTGCTAGCAGGACAACAATCACAGATAAGTGATTGAGATGCAGACGACAGAATGCATCCGGAGCTCCCTATGAGCAGTAAAAGTTTTCCTCTGTGCGGTCAGCCGTGCGAGAGTAAAAAAAATAATTGTCTATTAGAGAAAAATGGACGGGGCTGACCGCAATCAAGTTATTAAAAATGGAGTTGACGAGATTTCACGAGATTCCCGCCCCGGTTGATGTCTCGTAGATTAACAGAGACAAAAAAAAACCTCTCGGAAATTGCGTTTATCACTCGAAGCATGCTGGGTAGAAATAAAACTCTCCAGAGTAGATAATGAAATTCAATTGATTTAGCGGCTCGCCTTAAATATGTTCGCCCTCGGCAGGGCCTCCGACTGCGGCTCCCAATAAGATGGCATTTACATTTTCAAGTGGAGAAATAGAAACTAGTGGCAAACTTGTGGTGGTGGCAAACTTTTGGTTGTGGTAAACTTGTGGTTGTGGTAAACTTGTGGTTGTGGTAAACTTGTGGTTGTGGTAAACTTGTGATTGTGGTAAACTTGTGGTTTTGGTAAACTTGTGGTAAACGTGTGGTTGTGGTAAACTTGTGGTTGTGGTAAACTTGTGGTTGTGATAAACTTGTGGTTGTGGTAAACTTGTGGTTGTGATAAACTTGTGTTAAACTTGTGGTTGTGGTAAACTTGTGGTTGTGATAAACTTGTGGTTGTGGTAAACTTGTGGTTGTGGTAAACTTGTGTTAAACTTGTGGTTGTGGTAAACTTGTGGTTGTGGTAAACGTGTGGTTGTGGTAAACTTGTGGTTGTGGTAAACTTGTGTTAAACTTGTGGTTGTGGTAAACTTGTGTTAAACTTGTGGTTGTGATAAACTTGTGGTTGTGGTAAACGTGTGGTTGTGGTAAACTTGTGGTTGTGGTAAACTTGTGTTAAACTTGTGGTTGTGGTAAACTTGTGTTAAACTTGTGGTTGTGATAAACTTGTGGTTGTGTTAAACTTGTGGTTGTGATAAACTTGTGGTTGTGGTAAACTTGTGGTTGTGATAAACTTGTGGTTGTGTTAAACTTGTGGTTGTGGTAAACTTGTGGTTGTGGTAAACTTGTATTAAACTTGTGATTGTGGTAAACTTGTGGTTGTGGTAAACTTTTGGTTGTGGTAAACTTTTGGTTGTGGTAAACTTGTGTTAAACTTGTGGTTGTGGTAAACTTGTGGTTGTGGTAAACTTGTGGTTGTGGTAAACTTGTGGTTGTGGTAAACTTGTGTTAAACTTGTGGTTGTGGTAAACTTGTGGTTGTGGTAAACTTGTGGTTGTGGTAAACTTGTGGTTGTGGTAAACTTGTGGTAAACTTGTGGTTGTGGCAAACTTGTGATTGTGGTAAACTTGTGGTTGTGGTAAACTTGTGATTGTGGTAAACTTGTGGTTTTGGTAAACTTGTGGTAAACGTGTGGTTGTGGTAAACTTGTGTTTGTGGTAAGCTTGTGGTTGTGGTAAACTTGGGATACTTATGCTAAACATGGGATATTTTTATAAACTCGGGATACTTGTGGTAAACAAACCACTGTTTTATAGGGAAGACCTCGACGATGTAACAAGAATACAGATCTGTACAAAATCTACGAAAGCAGCTGTTAAAACTGATGATTAATTTTCCATAAAGAAAAAATATGAATATCCTTTAAAAAGGATAATATTTATTTTCCGATAAATAAAAAATATAACCTTTATATTTTCATCCACTAAATCGGAATGCAAAAAAATCCTTTCTGACTAACATGGAAGAAAACAGACAGTGGGTATTGACACCGTACACAACACACATTGACTGGACAGTTGAGGACAAGACAGTTGTGGACAAGACAGATGTGGACAAGACAGTTGTGGACAAGACAGTTGTGGACAAGACAGTTGTGGACAAGACAGTTGTGGACAAGACAGTTGTGGACAAGACAGATGTGGACAAGACAGTTGTGGACAAGACAGTTGTGGACAGGACAAGGTGACGATCCACTGACCGACGTACGTGAACCTACCTGGGTTGATGGGAGTCACGTGATGGTAACTGACTGCTATATATAGGACCAGCAGAGCCGGGCTAACACGCATCTGTGGGGGAGAAATAGAAAATCATTGAAGTGTGAACCCGTGCCCCTAATTCACTCAAACCCCTGCCCGAGTGGACCATCGTGGAGCGGGCTGAGTTATGTAAAGCCTTTAGATCGTCGCCATGGCAACGTCTGTTTAGTTCATACATCAATGACACAGATTTCAGGCTGGGTGTTGTACAGGCGCTAGAACATACGGGAACTGGCGATCGTGGTGCTTAACGTTGTGTGGTGGGGTCAAAAGCTAATGTAGATTTTTTTCAAACATTGAATGTATAGCTAGTTTAGATTTAAACATTGGCTGTATTGCTAGTGTTGGTTTAAAGATTGATTAGATTGCTATTGTATACTTAAAGATTGATTGTATAGCTAGTGTAGATTTATTTTTTTAATGTTATTTTTGATGTCATTAGTCAATACATGTATTCATTCATTAAGCGCAGATTATTGTGGCAGATTTAATACGATTGGGATTGTGATGAAATGGAAGATGGGTAACGACGTGCGTTGTGTTCGGGGAATGCTGAGTAGCAACAAACAAAGAACTGGGATACCAGGATACCACTGAAGAAAAACACTTTATATAAAATGATCAGCAGGAAAAAGACAAACTATTGATATAAATTATGATCTATTGACAAAACAATTGACGCATTGTTGACACTATTGTCAAATGAAACAGTTATAAACTAATTAAATAAAATAATACATCGGTCAGCGGAGATCACCAAATGGTCAGCATCAGATACGACATTTTGCCATCTCTGGGTAAACATTGTTGTTAAAATTCCTGTTAAAATTCCGTGTCTCTTTTTCAATTCTTTCAGCTATTTTAGAAAAATGTTTTAACTCTACAAAATCTGGTTCATCTTAAAAGGATAGTAAATTTGCAAAACAGCTATTTTAAAAAGCACTGAACGTATCCATCTTAGTTGAGACAAAAAAAAAACGCAAATGAGATAACGCAAATTACAAACCACTAAGGTTTAATCAAGGTACAGTTGTGATACTTCTATTATTTCACACAGCATGAATCACCTGACACTCTATGCCAGGTATCATTTTGTCTGGAAGGGTAGGGATGTATGTGTAAGCTGTACATTGTTAGGATATAATATACTGTGTTGTAAATTGTAAGACAATCATATAGAGGGCTATAAATTGTAAGGCTATGATATAGTGTGTTGTAAATTGTAAGGACATTTTGTAGTCATGTGTAAAGGTATGGTTATGCTTGGTGTAATAATAATTTGCTAAGTGCTATCATATTTAATGTTAAGGTGCTGTGTGCTAACTCGTGTACAGGTATGGTAGTAAGTGCTGATATTATGAAAAAGAACAAAGGGGGAGAGAGAGAGAATGATAGAAAGAGAAAAAAAGGGGAGTGGTGGTGGGGGGGGGTATGCGTGTCTCACAATACGATATCATAAATATAAAGAGAAAAGAGAAAGGAGGAGGAACTGAATCATGATAAGACAGAGAAAGAGAGAGAGAGAGAGAGAGAGAGAGAGAGAGAGAGAGAGAGAGAGAGAGAGAGAGAGAGAGAAAGAGGACAGGTGGATGTATTATAAGATGGAGAGAGAGGGATGGAGGCACCACACGAAAGTTATTTTTATTCTAGTTCCGCTTCTCGCTCTATCAACTTCAATCATCGTTAGCCCGAGGTCATTGGGTGCTTTAGTCGACATCAAGTCTAGGCGCTTCCGTTTTTTCCCCTGGTCCAGCAGCATTGAGCCCGTGAGCCCTTTCTTCAAGGTGACGGGTCTGGTCAAGCCGTTAATGGTTAGAGACTAAAACATCCAATTACTAAACTACATCAGTCAAAATGTAGACTAGTCGGAAAAGTTAGTAAAGAAAACACGCAGAGTTTGCTAAAGAAAACACGCATTTTGTCAAAGTTTGCTAAAGAAAACACGCATTTTGTCAAAGTTTGCTAAAGAAAACACGCATTTTGTCAAAGTTTGCTAAAGAAAGTTGCGTGTAGTACTGATCCTGTGTATAGACCTGCCGGGAAATACATGTGCTGAGTTGGGTCGAGACTCCAAAAGACCGCATATGTTGACGTTAACTGTATGGTATTTTATATTCTACCAACATTAACTGTATGGTATGTTATATTCTATCACACATTCTTTTATTCGACTGCTTAGTTTCCTAAGACGATTAGATTCGATGCAACATAGTTAGAGGGGGGTGGGGGGTTGAGGAGCCAGACTTCGGGTATTTTGATTCTCTTTTCTGTCTTTTGTTTTCAGCATTCAGGCGGAGCCACTACTCTTCATGTTTTAAAGCAGCGTACATCTCCTGAAGCCTTTCTCCACGGACAGTTTACTCCCAGAATCGTATGTCCAATAGAGGATATGCTTGCTTGACCATACATCAAAGTTAATTACTCTCCTTCCATGCTTTTCCCTTCAACACTAATCCCATGAACGTGTACCCAACACTGTTGTCAGAAAAATTTGAAAAGTTTGGGTAATTTTGCCGCTCCAAAACATCATTATTTTTACGTGGTCCGTCCAATATACCCCAATATGCGTCTAAAACAGCTCATGTTAAAAGCACTCAGTTATCTCTCATGTGATGCGCACACGTTCCAGCGAAACATAGTGTGAATAAGGTGCAACGTTTTTCTTCTGCAGGTACAGCATTTACCAGTATCTGCAGGATGATATACTTTAGATTTTGTATTTGTCACACCCCCCCCCCCCCCCCAAGAATTCATTTAAACAAAACCACCAGAAGAACGTGATCAAAAGTTGCATCTTTTGAATTGCCATCGACCATGGCGGTGTGATAAGAGGGTGTTTGATTTTTTCTATAAAAAATTTAACGGAAGTGATTGAGCAATTTAAAAACATCCACTTAACGAACGGTAAACAACTTTAAATCCCATAAAATGTTTCTTATTATAATAAAGCAGCTGTTAAAGAACTAAGGTCGTAAAAGTTTTCGTTAAATACCGCCATTAATGGTACACAATTCCTCCAAACACTAACATTTACAAAAATATAGATGCACTTATATATCTTAAATTTGTTGGTAGATTCTGAACTCTCTAGAACCAAGCGTTCAGATAAAATTAGTGGAAAATATAATTATATCGCTCTGATTTAGGCATTGATTGGGTAAATTGTTAATGCAATATTTATAGACACGGTTTAAAGCAAGCAAATTACCATTGAAATTGAAGCAAGTTGAAATAAATATTCAATGCTTCAAATGTCGCGACGTAAACGCCAGACAAATTAGGAAAGCGCAGATTTAAAAGTTTTGAAGGCTAATCTATGTTTAGTTTTTAAAACGTAGAGTACATCGCTTGCGCTAAATAATGGTTGTATGGTGAAGACCATAACGAATGTAGTCAACATTAACCTATGTGGTCAGCACAAAACATGACATCAGTGGTCAGCACAAAACATGACCTCAGTGGTCAGCACAAAACAGGACCATTTATTTAGCTTTGTGTAACGTTGCTCTTTACAAGACAATGAGCTAGATCATCCGATCTTTAGTTTAAAAGTTTTTATTAAAAAGCGTCTTAAAACAAAAAGTTGAACACACCACCCACCTCACACCCTCAACCGATGACACCAATGCACTAGCCAGAAAGAAATATACCCATTTTCATTTCAGCCTAAAAAAATATGGCAAAACACTGCTTCACCCCTTTATGAAACGCTCCTGTAAATCAGCCGAGAATATTTTTTTTATTGCCCATTTATCAAAAGTCATTGTATACACAAGTATTAAATAACGCTGATGCAAGATTCATCTTCTAAAAGGGTATTCGGTCGGTGCCCGCGGCATGGATAGTTTAGCATCGATCCAGTCCTGCAGCCATTGTAAATATGATGCCATGAAATTGACGAGACAGATCTTTAATTTAACGGTATAACAAACCTCCCCCCCCCCCCCCCCCTGAGAGACAGGCGGACGCTGGGGTCAGGCACCAAGACAAAACTCCACAGTTCACATTTTGAGACTTATTGTGGGGAACTAGATGGTAAATAAATCCACATACATCCATTTGTTTTAACAAATGACTTTTCTCTACATATTTCATCCTTACAACTTTTCTCTACATATTTCATCCTTACAACTTTTCTCTACATATTTCATCCTTACAACTTTTCTCTACATATTTCATCCTTACAACTTTTCTCTACATATTTCATCCTAACAACTTTTCTCTACACATTGTAACCATACAACTTCTGACTAGATAATGTTTACACTAAGCCCACCTTCACATTGTTTCATTCAAATCCTCTAATTACATCACTTATGTAAGTTTCTCTTTAGAGTTTGTACATCTATACATATAATTCTCTATATCACCCAACCATGCGGGACACCACGCACGCATGCTGACTCTCTGACCACCCCTGCCACCTGCCTCGTTCTCCAGGTATGCGCAACAGCGTGTACCCACCCACCCCATTTGGACTACTGTGTCTTTCAGGAAGTCTTCACCCGTCACTAAATAGCGGCGTATGTTAGACCGCTGGCCGGCTCGTATAAATAATTTTCCATGTGTTAATTAGCAATCCTCGTCCCTCACACTTTGACACAGACTCGCGATGTATTTGTAATCACTTAAATACTGCGTTCAATATAAACTAATACCGACACCACACTCATAACAGACCCGACCCCCCCCCCCAGGTTAAACCTCTTGTAGACAGGAGACGCCACAAATAGGAACATGCACATACACGATACATGAGGTAATCTCCTCATGCAGACCATACACACACACACACACGTTACACTAACACACTCGCACACACACGCCACACAAACATTTAAAGGCTGACGTAATCCTCTTATGCTGATCACCCCCCCCCCCCCACACACACACCTGTTTGCACACACATACATACTTTACATGCAAGCACTTCCCTTATCCTTTCATGTAAAACATAAACACACATACACACCGGCACGCATACACAAATTCCCCACACGCACACATAATTTACATGTAAGCTCTGACCT